AGCTATTTTCATGGATATATTTGGACAGATTCAACCAGAGCGATGCTACTAGATTGGACGAAGCGGTTCAACATAATTGAAGGAATCGCTCAAGGACTGCTTTACTTGCATAAATACTCAAGAATGAGAGTAATTCACAGAGATTTAAAAGCTAGTAACATACTACTTGATGAATATATGAAGCCCAAAATTTCTGATTTTGGTTTGGCAAGAATTTTTACACATAATGAACTTGAAGCAAGTACTAATAGGGTTGTTGGAACATAGTAAGTAGATCATACATTATAAATTATTATGCCTTTCACCACTTTGACATTGCTGTACTTACATACATATACTAAATATATTTGGTTTTTATATGATACAGTGGTTACATGTCTCCCGAGTACGCAATGGAGGGGATTTTTTCGATAAAATCTGACGTCTATAGTTTCGGGGTGTTAATGCTTGAAATCATTAGTGGTAGGAGAAATAGTAGCTTCTACAATGCTGATCATGTGCTCAATATAGTAGGATATGTACGTCTTATAAATCAAATTTACGATTAACATTTTATTTTTTGAGTTGTGAATATATATACCATGAATCTTTCAACAACTTAATTAAATGAGTGCAATATTTTTTCAGGCATGGGAGTTATGGAAAGAAGGCATGGGGCTAGAGCTAATGGATCCAACACTAAAGGATTCATGTATTGAAGATCAATTGTTAAGATGCTTCCATGTTGGTCTGTTATGCGTGGAAGAAAATGCAGATGATCGGCCCTCCATGTCTGACGTCGTATCTATGTTGACCACTGAAACAATTTCATTGCCATTACCTACAAGGCCAGCATTCGTCATAAGAAGAAATGTTATTAAGTCTGATATAAGTAGAGGGGAGTTGCAAGTTATATCAGTAAATGGCTTGTCTAATACCACAGTTGCTGGACGATAGAGGATTCGTCTATTAGGTAAACGATATCTTTGGGCCATAATTACGAGAAATTATAGAATAGTACGGTATCACCACGTCAGCTGGTGATACTTCCATTCAAAATCTGACACATGTCTATTTTATTTTTAAAAAGTTAAAAACTAATTACAGCTGGATATGAAATTATACTTTTACCCTTTCAAATAA